TCAGATTGGAGGAAGGACAGCCTCCGGCTTGACACCGGGAAGAAAGAAAATGACAGAGGAAGAGTCAGAGTCAGTACGCCACCTGCGATCAGCAGAGCAGTGGCTGGTCAACCAAGAAGTCCGTCTGGGGTTTTTACGCTGACGTCTCAAGTTCATGCAGACGAGTCAGAGATCATATCAGACTCAGATGGTTCAAATGATGACGGCCCTCTGTGAGGCACAGGGAGTTCAGCCGGCAGAGTTTCAGACTGAGGAGCACCCTCATTCAGAGGAGGAGGATGCATTTGAGGCAACCGCTACAACATTCTTTGAAGAGCATGCTGATAATGATGAGGCTGCGGTGGCTGCCATAGGTACTGGTGGTCCGCCTGCTACTGATCAGACTACTGGGGATCAGCCTGTTGGAGATAGTACCCATGTGGAGGAGGATCAGCCTGCTACCACAGATCCAGGATCCGATGAGGAGGACTCAATGTCCCACATTGACTTTTGATTTCACTCATTTTTAGTTTCTGTTATTTTGATCTTAGGGGATGTTTGGTACGAGAGAAATTTTTTTGTATCCTGGAATCACGATTACTTGGAATATGTTAAGAAAATGAAATTTCTGGGAATGTAGCCAAAAAGCTATTTGGTAGGCCAAAAGATTAACGGGAATATTAACTGATGTTTACTGAGTCTATGTTTGGTTGATAATAAAAAATTAATGGGAATATAAGGTAATTTTACAAAAATACCCTCAATTCATCGTCTTCCTTTCTCTCTCCCTTCCCAACCCCTAACATAATATGAACCCACTTCCACGATCTTAAAAAAAAGAAAACCAAGGCTAAATGTTCCTTGATTCGAAGCTTGGTTCCTTAGATATATAGAAGAGGCGTGTATGGATGCTTCTACCTCAGAACTTTTCTAATTTTTTTTTTAAAGTTTGGTGTATGGATTATTGTTGTTGTCCAGTTACATATGCTGCAGATCTGGATATTGTAAATTTAGTTTATTGTTAGAAGCTTTGAGGAGGAAAGTATGTGGATGTAAGATTTTAGGATGAAGTACATCCGAAATTTCGATTTCTATTTTACCATGTCAAACGCTGCCTGGTGTATTATTTGATATTTATATATATCGCCTGGTTATTCTGATCACTTATATAGCAGGTATCCTTCTTAAATTCACTGTGTTTCAAAAACATGGCTTTAAAAAAAGAATTGATATGTGGTACTATGAGTAAACTTGTTTAGGTAATAACAGTGTGGTTAGTTGAAAACCAAATTTCATAACTTGATGTTTTTATGGCAAGCAACTTTTGATGTGATAAAAGGAAAAAAAGAAACAAAGAAGAGACAATGAGAAGCAAGGATGAAGAGACGAAGAAAGCAACAGGGAATTTGGAAAATTTGAAACGAAGAGGAAGGGGTATTATTGTCCCAAAAAATTTGGAAAACTTTGCCATCGAATGGGGATTCAGGTATACCACCCTCCTGGTGGTATTCTTGAATAGCATTTTTCTTCACAAAATTTTTTCCTGGGTATCTAATTTTTCCTGGAAAATTTCCAAAATTTCTATACCAAAGTGGATATATAATATTACCAATATCAGTTTCCTAGTAATCCAAAACTTCCCTTTCTACCAAACAGCCCCTTAGTTTCTTTTAGTTTTATTTTGCAAGTAGTTTACTTTTGTAATTAAGTTAAGTACATTGGGATAATTACTGTTTTTTGCATGATGCACATTACGATACTACTGATGCTATTGGTTTATATATGAATGTGTTTCAGTGATCAATTCTGGCTGCATATCATTTTTAGATTAAAATTAGTTGCTGGGGACAACAACGTTTAAATCTGGGAATTGGGTGTGAATGAATGGCATGGAAACATCATGGAGATGTCACACAAATTGATGAGCCAAACAGGGAAATATCTCAATCTTTTTTTTTTAAGTTTTCTTGTGTGATTTGGATTTCAGTTGTGATGTGGAATTCAATGAGGATAAGACTGGTCAAAGAGATATGATTGATCAAATTAAGGATACAATCTTATACCTTGCATGTTAAGCAAAAATGAAATGATTGCATGACTCATTCAATGTGAAAGAGTAGAGAGATTAGTTGTGATACATATAGAGAAAGTCACGCATACACTCTGAACTGTGAGAATTTGAGCCTATACAGAAAATTTTGTTCAGAGAGCACTTCACTGCATGAATAACTCTAGAACTTGCCTTGTTTCTTACTTGAAATGGTTTATGATGTGTAGTGTAGAAATGATTGAGGCACTTCCTTCTTTAACCATAAAGTTTAAATGGCCAACCCTAATGTTTCTATTGCATGAAACCCTTGAGCTTAAGCCTGTTTGTTCTATAAAACCAAGAGCCTACATTCATTCTGATCCTTCAGATTAAAAGTTTCAGATAAAGGATAATGGATGAAAGTTTTGTTGGGAGAAAAGTGTTTCCTACAATAAATGAATGCACAAAGTGTTGGAAATATAAAAAAGAAGAAGGAAGAAAAAGGAAAAAGGGAATTAAAGACACAAAATGTTTGGAAGAAAATGGAGGAAAAAGGGAATTAAAGACACAAAGTGTTTGGAAGAAAAAGAAGGAAAAAAGGTTCGAAGAAAAAGAAAAGTTTTAGAAAAAGAGGTACAAGGAATGAAAAGAAAGAGAGTTAGAAGGATTAAGAAGAATATGGATAAATACAATTGTGATCCTCCTCTTATCTGAATCTGATTCATTTAATTTGAACCCTTCCTTTAACATAGATTTCTACCTTTAGTCAAGCCACATACCAAGCCATATTGCCAACTTTACAAAGACCTTTTTGATCTGCTCTATGGATCATTGTTACTGTAGGAAGTGAGAAGATGGACAAGCCTATGGTAGTTTGAGTACAGTGAAGATTGAATGATAAGTTCACTCTTAAACACTAGAGTGCAAGAGAGTTAAATTCTCACAATTTTTGAGAAGTTCCTAGTAAGGGGGTGTTTTGTTTGGAAGTCTCAGTATATCATCTGTACTGATCTGTTGAAAAGTCACAAATGATGTTGGGCAAATCATGGGAAATAAGAGATTGCGTTATAAGCTTGTATCATGAAATGTTGATCTTCTGTCAATTGAAAGTCATCCTCATGAATTTCATCTGTAAAGAATCTCAATTCCTTCTCTGTTTTTAATTCATTACTAAGGACAACAATGTTCAAATCTGGGAATTGTGATAAACCCTTGGTTTATAAGGTTTTAAAGCATGAATTACATTAATTTGTGTGATTAAATGGATGGAAAAGAGGGTTAATATCCTGGAAAGTCCTAAATACAAGCTCTAAAGTTTGTGTTGAAAATTTACATTGTTTTTGTAGGAAAATAAATCTCAAGAAGCAAAAGAGAGAAGGAAAAAGATTCTGAAGAATTTGGAGGATTCAAGTGTTGAGCGCTAAAATGGCCAAAGCAAACATTTTAGCGCGCTGCTGTAAAATGAAGCCAAAAAGTGCTAGTGCTAAGCGCTAAAACGACAAAGCATTCATTTTAGCGCGCTGCTGTTCAAAAAGATGCAGGTCTAGAGTGCTAAAACGGTCAAGTCAAGCGTTTTAATGTTTAACAAAATGCCAAAATTCCCTAGAAGTGTGCGCTTTAGCGATCATGATGAAATGTTTTAGCGCTGGGGACAATTAAAAGCGGTTAGGCATCCTTCAAGTTGAGCGCTAAAACGTCCAACAAGGAATGTTTTAGCGCCTATGTAAGTTTCTGGATTTTATTTCAGTTTTGAACTTGTAAACTATAAAAGGGCAAGGGGCCTTCACACTTGGGATCTGATTTTTCATTCTTTGAAATTTCCAAATTCCTTAGGTCTTAGTCTTGTATTAGTTTTAGTATACTTTATGTAATTGTGATTGAAGATTCAACAACATGTCAATGGAGTTTGATCTTTCCTCTTCTCTTGTTATTTCTGTTTCTATGTCTGAGTAGAGTCCCTTGTAGTTGGATTTCAATGGAACTCAAGGATGAATTTATGTATGGTTGATTGAATATTATGATTATCTTTTATGTGATGGAATGAAAGTGTCTATGTTAATTCTTTCCATTAAGGAAGTGATGTAGAACAGGAATGTTTACATTACTTCTGTAACTGGAAATTTCATCTTCAGTGTTCTATTATTCAGGAATGGAAATAGGACTCTAATGCAATCTTTAAAATCTCATTGATTAATGTATGTATTGAGAAGGGAATTACCAAGGGATTGGGGTTTCTTGATTAATGTATCAACTAAGATAGTAAGGAATTACATCTTAGTGATGAAGAAGATTGATTGACATCTATTAGAGATAATTCACGATTGGATCGATTCTTACATAAGTTTATGGTTGAAGGACATTGATTTCCTTACTACTTGTTTTAAAATTGTATTTCACATCTTAGTTATTTTACCGATTCCAAATATAATTCAAATTCTGGTGACAATTATCAATGCATTCAATGAATTCTTGTTTGATTCAACTTAATTATAAATGGTTAGTTGGTGTTTGAACACAAATCCTCATGGGAACGATCTTTACTTATCATTTTATTACTTGGACGACTAGTACACTTGCTAAAGTCGCAACAATGGGTGCTCAAGCGTGCTTAATATCAGAAATTGCTCTTTTTTCCCTGGAGTGGCGCGCTCGAGCGTGCATATGGGCGCTCGAGCGTGCTCTTCGTCACTCAAAATTCCTCAGTTGGCCTTAACTATCTAATTTTTTTTGTATTTTTAGATTAATTGAACTAAAAAGTATTGAAAACAATATATCCTAGGGTTGCTCCCTAGTAGCGCTTGTTTTACGTCATGAGCCTGACGTACCTGGTCCAAGTTACCTCTACAAGGACAACAGTGGTTGTTCCCCTGTCAATTTCTCCTCCCATGTGTAATTTCATCCGTTGACCATTCACTGTGAAGCTCCTCTCAGAATCCAGCAGACTAATCTCCACTGCTCCATATGATTTCATGTTCCTTACGATGAACGGTCCTTACCGTCGAGACTTAAGTTTTCCAAGGAAGAGACGAAGACGAGAGTTAAAGAGTAATACCTGATTCCCCACCTTAAAGTCTCGAGGCAGGATCTTTTTGTCGTGCCACTTCTTCGTCTTCTCTTTGTACAGGCTTGCACTTTCGTATGCAGAGAGTCTGAACTCGTCCAGTTCATCCAGTTGCAGAAGCCTTTTCTCAGCTGCGGTCATGGAATCAAAGTTGAGGTACTTTATTGCCCAAAAAGCTTTATGTTCCAATTCCAGTGGTAAGTGACAGGCCTTTCCAAACATTAATTGGAAAGGAGACATTCCAATTGGCGTCTTGAATGCAGTCCGGTATGCCCACAGTGCATCATCAAGCTTCTTCGACAGTCTTTTCTTGAACTTCCAACCGTCTTCTCCAATATTCGCTTCAGCTCTCGGTTGGATATCTCCACTTGACCACTTATTTGCGAATGATATGGTGTGGCAATCTTGTGTTTCATGCCGCATTTAGCCAATACGTATTCAACTTGTCTGTTGTCAAAGTGGGTTCCTCCGTCACTTATGATTGCTCGCGGTACGCCATATCGGACAAATATATTTCTTTTTAAGAACGCTATAACCACCCGAGCATCATCAGTAGGAAGAGAAACCGTTTCTACCCACTTGGAGACGTACTCAACTGCAACCAGGATGTATTTGTTGCCATAGGAAGGAGGAAAGGGTCCCATGAAGTCTATTCCCCACACATCGAAGATCTCAACTTCCAATATGTCTTCTGGTGATGTTCCCCGTTCTCTGACATCTATCACATGATTCAACGAACTTCCTTGCATCCTTGTAGAGGGTTGGCCAATAAAATCCGCTCATTAGTTCCTTTGCGGCTGTTCTTTCTCCTGCGAAGTGTCCACCGTAGCTGGAACCATGACAGTGCTAAAGGATGTCTTTCATCTCTTCTTTTGGAATGCATCGCCTTATTACTCCATCAAAACATCTGTAGAAAAGAAAAGGCTCATCCCATAAGTATTTCTTGACATAATGTAGAAACTTCTTTCTTTGTTGCCATGTGAAATCTACTGGAATTTCTCCTGCTGCTTTGAAGTTTGCAAAATCCGCGAACCAAGGAGGTGTACTTGTGGACTTTACTTCCTTCAGTTGCGGATCTGAGATAACATTGATAGCCATGATTTGTTCATCGTGAAACTCCTCTCCGATCTTCAGCTCAGGTCCGTCTTGAAGATCTTTTTCTTAATACTGGAGAGGTGATCAGCCACCAAGTTTTCTACACCTTTCTTGTCTCTGATCTCTATTTTAAATTCTTGAAGGAGCAGCATCCACCTAAGCAATCATGGCTTTGCATCCTGCTTATTCAACAAGTACTTTAAAGCAGCATGATCAGTGTAAACAATTAATTTAGACCCCAGACCCCAGCAAATACGGTCTAAATTTATCAAATGCATAGACAACTGCTAGTAATTCTTTTTCAGTGGTTGCATAATTCATTTGTGCATGATTCAGAATTTTACTAGCATAATAAATCATATGCAACAATTTATTCTTTCTTTGTCCTAAGACAGCTCCTATTGCATAATCACTAGCATCACACATTAATTCAAAAGGTAGTGTGAAGTCAGGTGCAGTGATTATAGGTGCAGTGGTCAATTGATCTTTTAAAATATTAAATGCAACCAGACATTCGTCTGTGAAGTTGAATTCCTCATCCTTGACCAACAGCTTGCATAATGGCTTTGCTATCTTGGAAAAGTCTTTGATAAAGCGTTTGTAGAAACCTGCATGACCGAGAAAACTTCGAATGCCTTTAATGTTATAGGGAGGGGGAAGTTTCTCAATAACAGATATTTTAGCTCTATCAACTTCTATACCATCTTGGGACACCTTGTGTCCTAAAACTATGCCATCTTTTACCATGAAGTGGCATTTTTCCCAATTTAAAACAAGATTACTCTCTTGACATCTTAAAACACAAGATAAATTTTCTAAACAAATGTCAAAAGAGGGACCAAAAACAGAAAAATTGTCCATAAAGATCTCAATAGATTTTTCAATCATATCAAAAAAGATGGAAAGCATGCACCTTTGAAAAGTTGCAGGAGCGTTGCACAAGCCGAAGGGCATCCTTCGCTAAGCGAAGACTCCGTAAGGACATGTGAATGCTGTCTTTTCTTGATCTTCTGGAGCTACTGCTATTTGATTGTAGCCTGAGTACCCATCCAGGAAGCAGTAGAAGGCATGGCCAGTTTCTCCAACATCTGGTCCAAGAAAGGTATGGGAAAGTGGTCCTTCCGAGTGGCTGTATTAAGTCTTCTGTAGTCAACGCACATTCTCCACCCGGTGACTGTCCTTGTTAGAATCAACTCATTGTTCTTATTTCTCACCACGGTGACTCCACCTTTCTTGGGTACTGTTTGTACAAGACTTACCCATGCACTATCAGATATAGGGTAGATCATACCTGCATCCAATAGTTTAACTACTTCCTTCCTAACCACCTCTTTCATGGTTGGATTGAGTCTCCTTTGCGGCAGCCTCACAGGTTTAATATCATCTTCCATTAGAATTTTATGAGTACAAAAGGAAGGATTTATACCTTTTAGGTCGGAGAAGGACCATCCTATGGCAGCTTTGTGTTTCTTCAGCACTTTGAGAAGCTTCTCTTCTTCTGCAGTTGAAAGCTCAACATTGATGATGACTGGATACATGTTGTTGTCACCAAGGAAGGCATACTTCAAATTTAGAGGTAACTCCTTAAGCTCTACCTTTGGTGCTCCAAGAGGGATGTCATCTTTCTTTCTTTCTAGTTCTTCAACCACTGGTTCTTTATCGGCTATTTCAACTTCTTCGTTCAATTGTATGTTTTGGATTTAAATACGAAGAGTGACATTCTTAGTATTCAGACTAAGAAGCCTAGATTAGGTAATCAATCCTATCTTTGGCATTGTAGATTGGGACACATTAACGAGACAAGACTGTCTAGACTCCATCACAATGGTTATCTGGATTCCATGGATTTTGAATCCTATGGACCTTGTGAGTCTTGTTTGGCTGGTAAAATGACGAAGACCAAGGTTGAGAAACTTGCGAGTCATAGAGCCAATGAGTTACTTGAACTCATTCAATTTTATGTTTGTGGGCCCTTATCTACTTAGGCTAGAGAAGGATATTCCTATTTCATTACCTTTACTGATGATAAGTCCAGATACGGATATGTGTATCTTATGAGACACAAATCTGAGGCCTTTGAAAAGTTCAAAGAGTTTAGGAATGAAGTGGAGAAAAAACTTGGCAAGATGATTAAGGGCCTGTTTGGTGTGACGTGTAAGGCATGATAGTATAAGCTTATACTATACGTTATGACATTTTTAATTGTTTGGTGTGACCACCGTATAGTATAAGCCTATACAGCATAATCCCTTAATACATCAAAACGATGTATAACTTAATCCGGCCTAAGGGTGAGGAATAAGACCTGATAAGAGATTGATGTATTAACATCGTTGACCAATGTAATTCTCAAAAATTAATATATTATTTTAATATTAATCTATTAAAATAAAAATTTATTTTTCAATATATTAATTTTTAAAATATTGAATACTTTTATTTTTATAAAAATTAATTTATATTTTGGACACACTGATCAATAAATTTTTATAAATATTAATATCATAAGAATTTTTTTGAAGAATTATATAAATTCTTTATTAAAGGATATTTTTATTAAAAATATTTATTTTTATCATATATAGTATTATACAGTGCATTACCAAATACTAGATGATATTATCTTATACAATATATTATTTTATACAATACCGTGCCAAACGCTTGATAGTATTAAAATTCAATCAGGTCTTATACAATCAGGCTTTATACTATTAGGTCTTATACTATCAGGTCTTATCTTATACTATGCACCAAACATTGCCTAAGACACTTCGATCTGATCGGGGTGGCGAATATCTGAGTCAAGAGTTTCAGGATTATCTAAGAGAGAATGGAATTCTCTCACAGTTGACGGCTCCTTACACACCACATCAGAATGGTGTGTCAGAGAGGGGGGACCAAACCTTGTTAGACATGGCACGGTCTATGATGAGTGGTACGAAGCTCCCAAAATCGTTTTGGGGATTCGCTCTGCATACGGCGTTACATCTTCTTAATAGGGTACCGTCGAAATCTGTTCTGACTACTCCATATCAGATATGGAGGGGCCGAAAATCCAACTTGAGTTATCTCAAGGTATGGGGTTGTCCAGCTTATGTCAAGACCCTAGCACCTGAAAAGTTAGGAGCTAGAAGCATCTTGTGCTACTTTGTAGGATATCCCAAAGAAACTAAGGGGTACTACTTTTACTACCCTGAGGACCAAAGAGTTATTGTGTCCAAGAACGCTACTTTTCTTGAGGAAGACCTTCTTTCTCAAGAAGATAGTGGGAGTAAGGTAGAACTTGAAGAAATTCAAGACCTACAAGAACAGATAGGGGAACCCGAGTCTGTTGATCAGGTGATGCCTCAACTGGAGGCAGCATACACCCAGCCCCGTAGGAGCACTAGGTTTAGTCATCCACCTGAGAGGTACGAGTTTGTGATTGAGAATTAGCAGACCGTTGAGGATGACGAGCCTGCTTCCTACAATGAGGCAGTCAAGGATGTTGACTCCTTAAAATGGAAAAAAGCCATGGAATCCGAAATAGATTCGATGCATCAGAACAAGGTATGGACCTTGGTTCCACCACCTGAAGGAATAGTTCCTATTGGGTGCAAGTGGGTTTTCAAGAAGAAGACTGATGCTGATGGCAACATCCAAACCTATAAAGCTAGGTTGGTTGCGAAGGGTTACCGTCAAAGACAATGAATTGACTTTGAGGAAACCTTCTCACCTGTTGCCATGATCAAAACTATTAGGATCATGCTAGCAATAGCCGCATATCATGATTATGAAGTTTGGCAAATGGATGTCAAAACCGCCTTCTTGATGGGTTCTTGAAAGAGGAAGTGTATATGACACAACCTGAAGATTTTGAATCCAAGAGTCAAGAGCATATGGTGTGCAAACTTCAAAGGTCAATATATGGGCTTAAGCAAGCTTCCAGGAGCTGGAATCTTCATTTTGATTAAGTCGTTACGGATAACAGTTTTATCAAGAATGAGGATGAACCATGTGTCTACAAGAAGGTTTGTGGGAATGCTGTTGTTTTCCTTATGCTATATGTAGATGACATATTGCTCATTGGAAATGACATTCCCATGTTACATGATGCTATCCGGCAAGTATACCGTTTCGCATAAGTAGTAAAGTAGTAAGAAAGATCGTCTCCTCAGGGATTGAAAACCAAGTACTAAAATAATCAGTCACTTTAAGTTGAAAAGCTTGATCTCTTGTTAGGAAAATTAAATTGAATCTTAGTAACCATAAAAGTAAAGACTTATTTTTGAGTTTTTGTATTTTCAAGAATGAAAAGAAGAATAATAATGGAGTTGGTTTTGAAA